GGGTAATTTACTAATGATTTTTAGAGAGAGTGGAAGGGAGGGGGAGAGACAGAGAGGGAAACATCCACGTGAGAGAGATACATCAATTGGTTGCTTCCCACATGCACCCCGACCAACACTGGGGGTTGAGCCTGCAACTAAGAGGTACATGCCCTTGACTGGAATTGAACCCAGGACCCTTCAGTTTAAGGGCCAATGCTCTATCCACTGAGCCAAACAAGCTAGGGCTATACCACTATTTCTTTTAAAAAATATATCTTTATTGATTTCAGAGAGGAAGGGAGAGGGAGAGATAGAAACATCAATGATGAGAATCATTGATTGGCTGCCTCCTGCATGCCCCCCACTGGGGCTCACCAAGCCCACAACCCAGGCATGTTCCCTGACTGGGAATTGAAATGTGACCTCCTAGTTCTGTGGTTGGCAAGCCACATGTTCTGCAGCTTGCGAGCCACATGCAGCTCTTTGCCCCCTTCAGTGTGGCCACGAAGTTTCAATCGCACTGTATGTGCGCGCCCGCATGTGGTATTTTGTGGAAGAGCCACTCAAGGGGCCACAGTTTGCTGACCACTGTCCTAGTTCATAGGTAGACACTCAACCACTGAGCCAGGCCAGCAGGGCTATCCCACTAGTTCTAAAACTTAAATATTGTCTACTGACTTCCTATTTTGATAAATATGGATTTACCTCACACTTTGTAGTTCCCTTCTTCCATTGGCCCTAAATATTTTTAGCCTTAATCTGAGTTTATATACTGGCTATCTTTGTGATTTTAAGTAACATTTTCCCGTAGTATCTCTTGATTCATGGATAACTGTTAACATTTTGGGGGACATCATCCCACCATTTAGGAAGCAGATGGAGTGTGGAGAGTTCAAAAATAACTAACTGGTCTTCTGGCTGCCTCTGTCTCCTTTTAATCTACAAACAGTAAATATTCTCTTAAATTGGGTTATGTTGCTTCCCTGCCTAAAATTCTTCCATGGCTATCCACTCACCTAAGATAAGCATCACTGTCACCTGGAAACTTGTTAGAAATGCAGTATTCTGCTCGGCCCTGGCCTGCTGAATCAAAAACTCTAAGAATGCGGATCAGACATTTATGTTTTAACAAGTCCTCCAAGGGACTCTTTTTCTTGTTGTTGTCGTTGATATAAGAGAGTAGAGAAAGACAGGAAGAGAGAGAGAGAAACATAGATTTGTTGTTTCATTGTGGTAAGCGAAGTCCTGTGTATATGTATTATTTCACTTAATCTTCACAACTCTATAACTATCATTATTGTCAGTACAGTGCAGGGATTAAGAGTGAAGTCTGGCCCTAACCAGTTTGGCTCAATGGATAGAGCATTGGCCTGCGGACTCAAGGGCACCAGGTTTGATTCCGGTCAAGGGCATGTACCTTGGTTGTGGGCACATCCCCAGTAGGGAGTGTGCAGGAGGCAGCTGATGGATGTTTCTCTCTCATCGATGTTTCTAAGTCTCTATCCCTCTCCCTTCCTCTCTGTAAAAAATCAATAAAATATATTAAAAAAAAAGTGAAGTCTGGCCCTAGCCGGTTTGGCTGAGTGGATAAAGCAGCAAGCAGGGTCCGGGTTCCCTTCAGGGCAAGGGCTTGTTTCTCTGTTCCAGGCTCCGCCCTGGTCCCGGGCTAGTGCAGGAGGCAACCAATCATGCGGTTCTCTCACATCCATGTTCTGTCTTTTCCTCTCTTTCCCACTCTCTCTAAAAATCAATGGAAACATATCTTCGGGTGAGGATTAAAAAAAAAAAAAGAGTGAAACCTGGAGCCAGGCAGTTAGGATTTGAGTCCTAGCTCTCCCATCGCGGTGACACTGGGCCTCCCTCTCTCCCGCGGTGAGACTGGGGTAAGAGCAGCGCCTCCTCCTGAGAATCCTACCCAGGTGTCCCCCCTGGAGCTGCTGGGGAGCTCAGTGAGCTGTGCTCCGCACAGTGACCGGCACAGAGTAAGCACCAAGCAAGCGCATTCCCGTTCCACACAGGGACCCTAGACCGAGGCGGGAAGGGACCTGCCCAAGGTCTAGGTGATGACGGAGCCAGGTATCGGGTATTTAATTCCCTTTATTCTTCCGAGGCCGGCATGCCGCAGACTCGGTGCAGCCCGTCCCGGCTCCGGCGGCCGGTCCCAG